AGTCGATTCAGAGTTGTAAACTACATGTGTAGGACTATGTTATTTTATACAATTGAAAACCCATTTACTATGTACAATTTTGAAGTGACGTCATCGCTTTAGTGGTGGGGATGATTCGACAAATTTTGGTTAGCGTTTTACCATCTACATGATATTCTTAATATAAGTACAAAATTTCACAACAATCGGTCGAGTACTTTCGGAGGTTATCTGTCTAATAAAAATCCGTGACAACAGACGGACAGACGGACAGACGGACAGACGGACGGACAGACGGACAGACGGACAGACGGACAGACAGACGGAAATGGGAGACCTATTTCTTCGTCTTCTAGGGGTCATGAAAGATCGAGAAAACGTAAAAGTAGAGAGTCGGCCGACGGACTCGATTACAATACTTCCTTTGCTTACGCTCGGGAAGTAAAAATCGAAAAATTGAGAGTTTATGAAAATCAAATTTGAAAAATTAAAAAATCGAAAATTTGACAAAATGACAATTGAAAAACAGAAATCTAAAACCGGGAAGTCGAAACATCAAAAGATTAAGAAATCGAAACATTTGAAAAATTCGAAAACGTGAAAAATTCAAATATCGAAGAAATGAACTGAAAAATCGAGAAATCGAAAATCTATAATTTAAACAATAAAAAAATCTAAAATAGAAAAATCCAAAAAGTAAAATAATCGACACATCGAAAAATCCAGGAGTCAAAAATCGAAAAGTCGAAGAATGGAAATATTGAAAAATCCCAAAACTGAGATATCGAAAAACTGAAAAATGAAAGAAAACCTGAAAATGGAAAACCTGACAAATCCGAAAACTGAAATATCCAAAAACTGAGAACCTAAAAAGTGGAAAAATTGTGCAACCGAAAAATCGAAACTTTATAAAAAGTAAAAAATGAAAAATCGAAAAATTAAAGAATTGAAGAACAGGAATATCGAAACCCTCGAAAGTCAAGAAATGGGAAAATCAAAACATCGATTAATTGAAAAGTCGAAAAATTAATATGAAAGTCAAATTTGAAAAATTGAAAAATCGAATATTTGACAAAATGACAATTGAAAAACAGAAAATCTAAAACCGGGAAGTCGAAAAATCAAAAGATTAAGAAATCGAAACATTTGAAAAATTCAAATATCGAAGAAATGAACTGAAAAATCGAGGAATCGAAAAATCTAAAATTTAAAAAAAAAAAATCTAAAATTGAAAAATCGAAAAAGTAAAATAATTGACATATCGAAAAATCCAGGAGTCAAAAATTGAAAAGTCGAAGAATCCAAATTTTGAAAAATCCCAAAACTGAGAAATCGAAAAACTGAAAAATGAAAGAAAAACTGAAAAATAGAAAACCTTATAAATCCGAAAACTGAGAACCTAAAAAGTCGAAAAATTGAGCAACCGAAAAATCTAAAAAGTGAAGTCGAAAAATTGAAAAACAGAACATCTAAAACCAGGAAGTCGAAAAATAGAAAAATTAAGAAATATTGAAAAATTAAAATATCAAAAGATTGAAAATTCTAAAATTTAAAAATTCAAAAATTGAAAAATCGAAAAAGTAAAATGGTAGACACATCGAAAGAACCAGAAGTCAAAAATTAAGGAGCCGAAGAATTGAAATATTGAAAAATCCTAAAACTGAAATATCTAAAAACTGAAAAATTGAAAAATCAAAAAAGTGAAATCGAAAAATAGAAACCTTAAAAAATCGAAAAATTGAAAAATCAAAAACCTGAAAAATAAAAAATTAAAGAACTGAAGAACAGGAAAATCGAAACACTCGAAGGTCAAGAAATGGGAAAATCAAAACATCGATTAATTGAAAAATCGAAAAATTGAGAGTTTATGAAAGTCAAATTTGAAAAATTAAAAAATCGAAAATTTGACAAAATGACAATTGAAAAATAGAAAATCTAAAACCGGGAAGTCGAAAAATCAAAACATTAAGAGATCGAAACATTTGAAAAATTCGAAAACTTGAAAAATTCAAATATCGAATAAATGAACTGAAAAATCGAGAAATCGAAAAATCTAAAATTTAAAAAATAAAAAAATCTAAAATTGAAAAATCGAAAAAGTAAAATAATCGACACATCGAAAAATCCAGGAGTCAAAAATCGAAAAGTCGAAGAATCGAAATATTCAAAAATCCCAAAACTGAGATATCGAAAAACTGAAAAATGAAAGAAAAACTGAAAATGGAAAACCTGAAAAACCCGAAAACTGAAATATCCAAAAACTGAGAACTTAAAAAGTCGAAAAATTGAGCAACCGAAAAATCCAAAAAGTAAAGTCGAAAAATAGAAACTTAAAAAAAAACTAAAAAATGAAAAATCAAAAAATTAAAGAATGGAAGAACAGAAATATCGAAACCCTCTAAAGACCAGAAATGGGAAAATCAAAACATCGATTAATTGAAAAATCGAAAAATTGAGAGTTTATGAAAGTCAAATTTTAAAAATTAAAAAATCGAAAATTTGACAAAATGACAATTGAAAGACATAAAATCTAAAACCGGGAAGTCGAAAAATCAAAAGATTAAGAAATCGAAACATTTGAAAAATTCAAATATCGAAGAAATGAACTGAAAAATCGAGGAATCGAAAGATCTAAAATCTAAAAAATAAAAAAATCTAAAATTGAAAAATCGAAAAAGTAAAATAATCGACATATTGAAAAATCCAGGAGTCAAAAATCGAAAAGTCGAAGAATCGAAATATTGAAAAATCCCAAAACTGAGATATCGAAAAACTGAAAAATGAAAGAAAAACTGAAAAATGGAAAACCTGAAAAATACGAAAACTGAGAACCTTAAAAGTCGAAAAATTGAGCAACCGAGAAATCCAAAAAGTGAAGTCGAAAAATTGAAAAACAGAACATCTAAAACCAGGAAGTCGAAAAATAGAAAGATTAAGAAATATTGAAAAATTAAAATATCAAAAAATTGAAAATTCTAAAATTTAAAATTCAAAAATTGAAAAATCGAAAAAGTAAGAAGGTAGACACATCGAAAAGCCCAGAAGTCAAAAATAGAGAAGCCGAAGAATTGAAATATTGAAAAATCCTAAAGCTGAAATATCTAAAAACTGAAAAATCGAAAGATCAAAAAAGTGAAGTCGAAAAATAGAAACCTTAAAAAATCGAAAAATTGAAAAATCGAAAACCTGAAAAATCAAAAAACTAAAGAATTGAAGAACAGGAAAATCGAAACACTCGAAGGTCAAGAAATGGGAAAATCAAAACATCGATTAATTGAAAAATCGAAAAATTGAGAGTTTATAAAAGTCAAATTTGAAAAATTGAAAAATCGAAAATTTGACAAAATGACAATTGAAAATCAGAAAATCTAAAACCGGGAAGTCGAAAAATCAAAAGATTAAGAAATCGAAACATTTGAAAAATTCAAATATCGAAGAAATGAACTGAAAAATCGAGAAATCGAAAAATCCAGGAGTCAAAAATCGAAAAGTCGAAGAATCCAAATATTGAAAAATCCCAAAACTGAGACATCGAAAAACCGAAAAATGAAAGAAAAACTGAAAAATGGAAAACCTGAAAAATCCGAAAACTGAGAACCTAAAAAGTCGAAAAATTGAGCAACCGAAAAATCTAAAAAGTGAAGTCGAAAAATTGAAAAACAACATCTAAAACCAGGAAGTAGAAAAATAGAAAGATTAAGAAATATTGAAAAATTAAAATATCAAAAGATTGAAAATTCTAAAATTTAAAAATCCCATAATTGGAAATTCGAAAAAGTGAAAAGGTAGACACATCGAGAAATCCAGAAGTCAAAAATAAAAACGTCGTAGAATTTAAATATCTAAAAACTGAAAAATCGAAAGATCAAAAAAGTGAAGTCGAAAAATAGAAACCTTAAAAAATCGAAAAATTGAAAAATCAAAAACCTGAAAAATATAAAAATTAAAGAATTGAAGAACAGGAAAATTGAAACACTCAAAGGTCAAGAAATGGGAAAATCAAAACATCGATTAATTGAAAAATCGAAAAATTGAGTTTATGAAAGTCAAATTTGAAAAATTAAAAAATCGAAAATTTGACAAAATGACAATTGAAAAACAGAAAATCTAAAACCGGGAAGTCGAAAAATCAAAAGATTAAGAAATCGAAACATTTGAAAAATTGAAATATGGAAGAGCTGAAATGAAAAATCGATAAATCGAAAATCTAAAATTTTAAATATTGAAAAATTAAAATACTGACGAATTGAGAAATCTAAAATTTAAAAATCGAAAAAGTAAAAAGTCGACACTTCGAAAAATCCAGAAGTCAAAAATGGAAAAGTCGAAGACCAGAAATATTGAAAAATCCCAAAACTGAAATATCGAAAAATTGAAAAATCCCAAAACTGAAATATCCAAAAACTGAGAACCTAAAAAATCGAAAAATTGACAAATCAAAAGCCTGCAAAATCGTAAGATCGAAAAATTGAATAATAAGTAAATGGAAAATTCCCAAAACTGAAATGTCCAAAAACTGAGAAATTAAAAGACTGAGAAATCGAAATAACAAAAAGTGAAGTTGAAACATATAAACCTGAAAAAATAAAAAAAAATTAAAAAACAAAAAACCTGAAAAATCAATTAATTGAAAAAAAATCGACAAATAAAGAGTCTATAAATAAAAGTCAAAAATTGAAAAATCGAAACATTTAAAAATCGTAAAATTGAAGAGAACAACTGAAAACCGAGAAATTGAAAAATTGAGAAATTGTGAAATCTAAAAATTGAATAATAAATATGAGTAAACTGAAAAGTCCCCAAACTAAAATTTCGAGAAACTGAGAATTCGAAAGTTGAACAAGAAAAAATTATGGTCGAAACCGGTTAGGATGTGTATCAACAAAACACACAAACACTGTTGCCAACATAAGTCGAGGAGTCTTCAACTGTTGAAACTATGACGCTTCTCTATGTTCTCTGGCTGGACTGATAAACCAAGTCAATAAACCTCATAAAACAAAAAGTACCTAAACTTTTAATATTAACCACTCTCATAACAAGAAGTGTTCTATTAAAAATATTCGATTTTGTAAATCATTTAAGTATTTATGTAATGCTTATAATTGCAAGATCATGTCTGCAGCCAATACTTCTTCGGATTTACCAAACGATACCACTTCACAGGTAAAATAACCAGTGATGACCGAACATAGCTCTAATGAAACCTTATCACAGGTGATTTCGGCGATTTCTGGTAACGATGTTGATAAACTTGAACGTCTTGTGGCCTCTTGTGCCGAAAGTCTCGCTATTCTTGACGACGAAGGCAATAACCTTTTACTCCTTTCAATCATTCTAGACAAGTAATGACATTTGAACTGAAGTATGGTTACTGAACCTTGTTTTACAGGTATGGAATCTTTGACTACTTGTTGTCTCTCAATTACTACGACTTGGAAGCCACCAACTTAAATGGTGAGACGGCACTGTTGCTCTCTTTGACACGTTTCGCAAATCAAGGTGTGTTTTTAAGTGAGCACTTTGCCGTGGGTTTAGTCGAAAAAAGTGCAAATATTCACACGCTTTGCTACAACAATAATACATTTCTACACTTGGCTTTACAAAGACATCAGTTTTTAATCAGCCAGGTGCTTATTGAGAAAGGTGCTGATATTAATGCACAAAACAATGATGGATGTACACCTCTGCATATGCTGTTTAACATGAAAACTGACCCCGATGGTGTGAGTGAAGGGGTGGGTTTAATGATTTATTATGGAGCGGATGCTTCCATTATTGATAATAACGGGAATTTGCCGTTTGAACTGGCTGTGATTTATGACCCTAGTATCATTTCAGTCCACGAACATTTGTTCTTTTATACATTTGATTGTTATTCAGAATATAAACTGTCTTCTGAGGTTTTGTTTGAGTTGTTGGAAAGAAAGTCTCCTTTGTTTTTTCAACTCGCGGAGTGCGTGAAAGAAGTGGTTTTCGTTAAAAATGTAATTTTTTCGTCTATGATGTTTTTCAAATTGGAGCCGCAGGTTCTAGGGGTTATGATTGACAAGTTTGACTATGTCATACGAAGTGTTTTTTTGAGTAAGCAGCCAATCTTTTGGTACGATTTTCAGTCCACGTCTTTCCATAATTGGGAAATGTTGATTAATAGTAACTTAGCTTGTGAAACTGTTGAGTTTCTTGGTAAAATTAGAATGGAACTGTTGGTTGCTAAAATGATAGAAGATCAAATCCATCCTAGAGAGGCCATGAATTTTATTTTTTACTTGCTGTCATATGGACTTAACGTGTGGGAAAAAGATCTAGATTCTGTGTATAAAACATACGGTTATTGTGATCTTTTCAAAACCTTGTTGCACATGGAGATTAGGGTCAGTTTCTGTGATATTATTCCACGTATTATTTATGATATTAAATTAGATCTAGATGTGTTTCTTAATGATCCTCATAATTACTCTCTAAATGCATTTGAAGAGTTGTTGGACTACTTTGCAAGACCTAAATTAAAAAATATTTGTTATAAATTAAATGTGAAACAGTTTATTACCAAAGCTAAAAGTCTACCTCAGGTGCCACTATTAGTCGAGTTTGCAAGAGATGCAGTCAGAAAGTATTTAATTGAGAGGTTCAGTGTACGGAGATCTAGTCAATTTTATACAGTTGTTAGGTGGCTCCCTATCAGTATTTATCACAAGAAGATACTTTCGTTTGAAACGAAATTATATAGATATCCCTGTTAATAAAGTTTTTGTAAATTGGAAGTTGTTTTGATTTTATTATTATAAAATGTATTTTTTAAATATGCGAACACAAGTCATTCGTCCCTGATACAGAGTTCCTGAGTTAGGAATGAAAAATGAAGTTTCAGTGTTATAATTAGATTCTTACTTGAGAGATGGCGCCGTAAAAATTCTACTTTATCTAAACTTCAACACACACTGTAAAGAGAAGCGAATACAAAAAAAAACACGAACAGAATGGAAGATAGAGGAGAACCGGAGTTTTGTTCTACTAAAGTGGGTGTAATTAGTGTCATATCAGTTTATTGATTAATTAATTAATTAATTTATAATGTTTGTACAATAGTTTTATTAATCTTTTAATACTTTATAAACGTATGTCAACAATCAGTATTTACAAAAACTGTACAACTGCAATTAAACATAAATATGACTAACATATATATATACATGCAATTTTATACTAATTTGGTTGTTAAGTTGGTCAACTCTCTCGCTTGCGACCTTAAGGCTTATCGGATCGGGTCCAATCATCTGAATAACTTGAGAAACTCTTGAGATGAAACCAGCACGAATTTACTCTTGGTCTTCAAACACCTGTAGAAGGGTTCTTTCGTTGAGCTTCGAGTTAAAATATTGCTGCAAGGCCATTGTTAGCTCCACCGCTGCATCGTCAAACACCTAAAACCAACAACATAAACACTAATTCCAAAACACGATACTACCAGAGAACATAAAGAAGCGTCATAGTTTAAATTAAATGACGGTTGAGGACTCCTCGACTTATGTTGGCAACAGTGTTTGTTTCTAACTAGCAATAAAATTAACTACAATAGAAAAAATGTCATAATATTTTTAACGACACGTTTTACTTTCGACAAATTGACACTAGATTTACCAGAATATTACAAGCTGCTTACTGTTTCCACTTTAATTCAGGTCACACGAATTACAGTTCGTCGTCTGAGAACTTGTTTGATCTACAGACCAGAGCGCACTCAGGCCAATGTCGACTCTAAGCGTTCGGAAACGATTTGATTTATAAGCCATGATCCGTGATCTGATATACATTCCAACCGGTTTCGACCATAATTTCTGCTGTTTCAACTTTCGAATTCTCAGTTTTTCGAAATTTTAGTTTGGGGATTTTCCAGTTTACTCCTATTTATTTTTCAATTTTTGGATTTTACAATTTCTCAATTTTTCAATTTCTCGGTTTTCAGTTTTTCTCTTCAATTTTACGATTTTTAAATATTTCGATTTTTCGATATTTCTGTTTTGAGATTTTTCAATTTTCGATTTCTCGATTTTTCGATTTCTCGACTTTTCGAAGTTTCGATTTTTCACTTTTGTGATTTTTTAATTTTCCGATTCTTCAATTGTTCTTCGAATTTTTGATTTCTCGTTACATTTTCGATTTTTAATTTTTTCATTTTTTCGCCGGATCGATTTCTCGATTTGTCAGTTTTTCGTCGATTTTCGATACTTTAATTTTGGAATCCTTCAATGTTTCCAATCTTCAATTTTTCGATATTGAATAAATTTTTCAGTTTTTCAATTTTTTGAAGTTTCGATTTCCCAATTTTTCATTTTTCGCTTCTTCAATTTTTCAATTCTTCGATATTTCAGTTTCAACTTTCGATTTCTCGATTTTTCGGTTTTTCACTTTCTCCATTCTTCAATTTTTCGATTCTACAATTTTTCTTCGATTTTTTGATTTCTCGTTTTTACATTTTCGATTTTTCATTTTTTCGATTTTTTAATGTTTCGATTTCTGGATTTTTTACTGTTTTGATTTTTTTATTTTTCCATTTTTAAATATTAGATTCTTCAATTTCACAATTTTGCGATCTATCGAATTTTGGATTTTTCAGTTTTTCTATTCTTCATTTTTCCTTAGATTTTTTAATTTTTCGATATTTCTGTTTTTCAATTTTTCGCAATTTTAGGGTTTTCAGTTTTTTGATGTTTCGATTTCCCGATCTTTCGATTTTTAGACTTCTCGCTTTTAGATTTTTTGGTTTTTCAATTTTATTGTTTTTAACATTCTCGATTTTTCAATTTTTCGGTTTTCAAATTTTTGGGTTTTTCAATTTTTCCTTTCTCAATTTATTGAGATTTCGATATTTCGATTGTTAAATTTCTTGATTTTTCGATTTTTTTTTAATTTCAAATCTTAATCTTTAAAAATTTTTATTTTTCGAGTTTGGGCTGTTTCGATTTCTCAATTTTTCGGTTTTTCCACTTCTCGACTTTTCAATTTTTCAGTTTCTCGATTAACCGATTTTTGATTTTTCGACTCTTCGATTTCTTTGATTTTTCAGTTTTTCAATTCTTTAATGTTTGGATTTTTCAATTTTTTAATTTCTCAGTTTTTGGACATTTCAATTTTGGGATTTTTCAGTTTACTTATTATTCAATTTTTCGATCTTACGATTCTGCAGGTTTTTGATTTTTCAATTTTTCGATTTTTTCAAGGGGTCGATATTTCGACTTCACTTTTTTGATTTTTCGATTTCTCAATTTTTCGATTCTTTAGGTTCTCAGTTTTTGGATATTTCAGTTTTTCTTTCATTTTTCAGTTTTTCGACATTTCAGTTTTGGGATTTTTCAATATTTCTCTTCTTCGACTTTTCTATTTTTGACTTCTGGATTTTTCGATGTGTCGACCTTTTAATTTTTCGATTTCTCGATTTTTCATTTCAGCTCTTACATATTTCAATTTTTCAACTTCCCGGTTTTAGATTTTGTCTTTCAATTGTCGTTTTTTCAATTTTTCGATTTTTAAATTTTAGATTTTTCAGTTTTTTTATATTTTAATTTTTCAATATTTAAAATTTTAGATTTTTCGTTTTCTCGATTTTTCATTTCAGTTCTTCGATATTTCCGTTTTTCATGTTTTCGAATTTTTCAAATGTTTTTATTTCTTAATCTATGGATTTTTCGACTTGCCGGTTTTAGATTTTCTGTTTTTCAATTTCTGTTTTTTCAAATTCTCAATTTTTCAATTTTTCAAATTTGGCATTTATGAGCTGTCAATTTTTCGATTTTACAATTAATCGATGTTTTGATTTTCCAATTTTTTGACTTTCGAGGGTTTCGATATTCCTGTTTTTCAATTTTTTAATTTTTCGATTTTTCATTTTTTAGTTTTTTTAAGGTTTCGATTTTTCGACTTCAGTTTTTGGATTTTTCGATTGCTCAATTTTTCGACTTTTTAGGTTCTGTTTTTGGATATTTCAGTTTTCGGATTTTTCAGGTTATTAGATTCTTAGTTTATCTTTCATTTTTCAGTTTTTCGATTTTTTCAATATTTCGATTCTTCGACTTTTCGATTCTTGACCCCTGGATTTTTCGATTTTAAATTTTAGATTTTTTAATTTTTAAAATTATAGATTTTTCGATTTCTCGATTTTTCAGTTCAGTTCTTCGATATTTGAATTTTTCAAATGTTTCGATTTTTTAATCTTTTGATTTTTTGACTTCCCGGTTTTAGATTTTCTGTTTTTCAATTGTCATTTTGTCAAATTTTCAATTTTTTAATTTTTCAAATTTGACTTTCATAAACTCTCAATTTTTCGATTTTTCAATTAATCGATGTTTTGATTTTCCCATTTCTTGACTTTCGAGGGTTTCGATGTTCCTGTTCTTCAATTCTTTAATTTTTTGATTTTTCGGGTTTTTGATTTTTCAATTTTTCGATTTTTTAAGGTTTCTATTTTTCGACTTCACTTTTTTGATTTTTCGATTTTTCAGTTTTAGGATTTTTCAATATTTCAATTCTTCAGCTTTTCTATTTTTGACTTCTGGGTTTTTCGATGTGTTACCTTTTTACTTTTTCGATTTTTAAATTTTACATTTTTCAGTCTTTTAATATTTTAATTTTTCAAAATTTCTTGATCTTTCTATTTTTCGACTTCCTGGTTTTAGATGTTCTGTTTTTCAATTTTCGATTTATTAATTTTTCATTCTCGATTCATCGAGATTTGATTGTTCAGGTTTTCGATTTTTCATTTTTTCAATTTTTTATTTTGGCCTATTTCGGTTTCTCAATTTTTCCAGTTTTCCATTTTTTCGTTTTTTGATTTTTCCGCTTTTCCAATTTTTCAACTTTTAACTTTTTGTTTGTCGATTTCTCTATTTTTCGATTTTTCGACTTCATCACTTTTCGATTTTTCGTTCTTTGGATCTTTCGATCTCTCAATTTTTCAATTTTCGAATTTTTAAGTTTTTTGATTTTTCGATTTAACGGGCTTTGGATTTTTCGATATTTTGATTGTCAATTTCTCAATTTATAAATTGTTCAACTTTCAACTTTTCGATTTTTCGATTTTGGTCTATTTCGGTTTCTCAATTGTTTCGACTCCACGATTTCTTGATCTTTTGATTTTTCGATTTCTCAGTTTTTCCATGTTTCGATTTTTCAGTTATCCGATTTTTTAAATTTGGGAGTTTCGATTTCTCGATTTTTCGTTATTCGATTTTTAAATTTTACATTTTTTCGATTTTCAGTTCTTCTATATTTCGATTTTTCAATGTTTCGGTTTTACGATTTTTTAAGGTTTCGATTTTTCGATTATTAGATTTCTCGAGTTTTCGAATTTTCGATTATTCTAATTACTAAAATCAGTAAAAATATAAAAAAAAAATTGATACAAAATAGAACACAGTGTTTCCAAGACGTTTTCCCGAAGAAAATCCATTGGGTTATTACGATTTCAACAATATTCTTAGTTTAAGACGTTTTGCTAGTATAAAACACAAATAAAGAATCAATTCTTAGTTAAACAAAATAGGTAAAATCATCTAAATATGTACCAAAAAAATTTACTTAGTCGTTATAAAAACCGACCAAACAACTATTTCCCGCAGAAATTATAGTCTAAACCAACCCAATCGCTTCTGAATGCTTAGAGTCGACATTGGCCTGAGCGCGCTCTGGTCTGTAAATCAAACAAGTTCTCAGGCGACGAGTTGTAGTGAATCAAGTTTTTTTATTGGCATCGACTATTTAAATTTGGCGTTTGTCTTTGGCGGTTGAGGACTTAACTTTGCTCCCTTGCATAAGTTGCCTTTGAATAAAAGCTGCCGAATCCGAAAATATTTAAACATTTTCTGAAAACACAAACGCGAACAAGTATCAATTACAAAGCCGGTTATATAATTTTTTTTTACAAAATCAGCTAAGCCGCGATTACAGAACTGAATAAATAAGTCATATATAGAGAACAGTTTTTACCTCCTTGCAGGCTAAATTATAGATGATGGCGGTTTCTCGTTCTTGGAGAATTTTCAAACATATTGGTAATCTAGAAGAAGGTGTGACGTCATAAGTACAGCATTTTTGGTTAGATTACAACTAGGGCTAGAGCTTTTTGCTACTCATTGCTGATCCTGTCAATTTCGAAGGCGTAGTTCATCAACACGTGGTCTTTACGATCTTGATGTGCCACCAAAGTAATGTAATAAAGCATTCCTCAACATTCAGCTACCTCCTTCGCCCATCATGTAAACTTGCAATTCTGCCATGAGTAGCTGTTATTTTTCGGAAATTTTACCATCTATTAGTCCCAGAAGAGCATCGAACTCAGTTTGGGCCTACAATGTCAACAATAGCACAAACATTACCATTGAAAGATGGCTTACGTCTATCTGATCTTTATAAATGATGAGGGGTTCTCTCGCCTTCTTCTCTTCTCCTTCACGCCGTTCTTCTTCCTCTAAATCCACCACTTGGTCCGAGGGAATTCTAGCTTCAGCGCCATTTACTTCAGCTTCCTAAAATTTTGCCGTTATTTTGACAATGGTGCTAAAGAAAATAACGTACTTATAGTTCTACTGGAACCGGCCCCCTTTGTCGCAGCAACTTCTTTCCCTTCTTTTCATTCTTCTTCTTCTCTTTCTTTGCTAGTTTTTCTTTCATTGTTTCCCATCGTTCTTCTAAAAGAAGTGACCGGTATCTAAAAAGAAATACTATTGAGTTAAATGGTGACAATGTTTAATAAAGAAAGTAAAAAAAATATATATAGGGCGACAAGAAGGTGAAGTTTAACGAATTTATGTAAATACTACTTTCTTGAAGAATCACGGAACAGAAAATCACAAAATGCTTAAAAATAGCATAGTTTTAAACATCCCAAAGAATACAAAATTAAAAATTATCTTTCATTTTTGGCCCACATCTTCGTATCAAGGATACGTCTAATTTAGTTTGTATTTTTATAAAAGGGTAATTGTTTAAGCAAAAATGAATCGCATCCGACGCCACGGAGTTTCTGAAATGTGTAAAACTTCAACTATTCCATCAACACACGTACTTTTGGTTTTTGAGAGAAAGGACCTCGAAACTTATCGTTAGCTAAATTAATATCATCATGGATTAGAAATGGAGGTGTACCTTTCTTTATTTTGTACTATAAGAATGTGTTATTTTTTTATTTACATAGAAATTATTTTCTCACAGCTTGAATTTGAACATTTATTCCTGAATTATTAGGTAGGTTGATTTTGACCGTATTCCATTTGTGGCTGTTGTTCACTTTGATTTGATTTATAACTTGAATTAATAAGACATCATTTAACATCATGCAAATCATGTCACCAACGTAAACTTGTGTATTTGTATCCAGTTATTTAATAACCATTTCTTTTTTCATAATCTGTTTAATATGATTTGTAATCTTTGATTTCGTTTTTGAAAGCTGGAGAGAGTTTTTGCAGTTGGGAAATAAGTTTTTCAGTAACTTTTCAAAAATTAAGGAATAAACAAGCAATTTGTCTTCCATTTGACTTAGAGGCGCTTTTCCAAACTTGGGGTTCACCACTAATAATTCAAGAATAAATGTTCAAATTCAAGCTGTGAGAAAATAATTCCTGTGTAAGAAGATAACACATTCATGTAGTATAAAATAATGATAAGATACACCTCCATTTCTAATCCACGACGATAAAGTGTTTACAGCAATTCAGAGCACCCCATATTGTATTTTAAAATACATAATTTTCCAAATAATTTTCAAGAATTTTGATTTTTTTTTAATTTCGATATCTTAGTTTAAATATGAGGGTGGATTAATAAACCACACACATATAACCATATTACCTTGGAAAAATTATCAAAATTTTTTTGTATACTGTCCGTTACTCCTAGAACAAACCCAGGGCAAAGCATGGGGCTTCACTTCACACAAATCAGCCAAGAACTAATAAAAACGACGCACCTTTGCTAATTTCCTCGCTTTTTCTTCTCTTTTTGCTGGTAGTTCTGGCAGAAAGGTGATGAGGCATCATCTAAAATGGAATTATTTTAAAATTAGAAAAACCTTTTTTTCAATCAATCAATCAATAAATTTAATTCATCCCTTCATTAATTATTTTGAATATTCTCTGTAAACAATCTTAACAATAAAAATAATTTTCATCAAACCACATTTTTTATCAAAATGTATTTCATTCATTTTTGCAATTACATCTAAAGGGACGAATTCATAAATCCTGATCATTGTTCTAATCATTAAATCGATGTTTCGATGCCTTTTTGCACATTCCCTCTCTATTTTTCTAATGGTATCTTATTATTATTAAAGTTAAGAAAAAGGAAGCTCCATTTTCTAATATAACAAATTATCTAAAAATCCACACATTTTGCAGAACGGTTCCTGGAAGGACAAGTCTACCAGTGAAAAATGTAAACATCCGTTGTGTACACTTAATAATACAGAGTGATTTATAATGATAGAACAAATGAAAAGGAAAACGTAAAAATACTAAACATAAACCATATATTACTAATCAGATTTTACTTACACCACGGTGAAATAAATTGAAACAACAATAGGCACATTATTTTGGAGACTTCAGCGTTAATTTCTAGGCCATATTGACAACATCACTGGAGCGAGTTTTTATTTGCTAGATGAATATACCTAAGTATTTTATAATTTCTTCTTGCTGGGGTACAACTTCGCTAGAATGCTAAAATCAAAGTAAAAATAACGACGACTATTTTGTTTCTTACCTTCACTTGTATTCCATTTTATAATGAGGCTAAGTTTACAGTTGAAGATTGCTTTTCCGTTTTCGTAAAAATCAGTGAAGAAAATGTTGAGGAAGATGCTAAACGATCTCATGCATTGTCTTTTGTTGACTTATTGAGAAAGAAAACACAATTGTTTTATAGCAGAAGGTCTTACTTTGTTCAAACTTACTAAAACTAGTTGCGAATTGATTGCCCTTCCAAGTTGTAAATTATATAATGCAATAGTAAACTGTTAACTAAAAGATAACGCAGACGAGATGCGGTGATGTAGAGGAATTTTTAAATGCTGGTTTTCTAAATTGTTAAATAAGTATGTAGTATTAAATAGGGACTTACAAGTAAAAGCATCTATTTTTTAGCATCACCACATGTCAAAAGTATACACTACAAATGCTAATATTCATAAGTAGACGCTTTAGTAAACTTAGCATATACTTATAGAAGATGTTAGAATAACCAAATTTGTAACATACTTATTGATTAGCAACTAAAGAAGTCTTAAATAATTGATTCAAGAAGAAAGAGGAACTTGCCTTTGCGAGAGATTTTTTTTAAATAAATAAAATTTGTTTCTATTTTTTTGTATATTGTAATAATTTATTAGGAGTACATTTTTCATCACCAAGACTTGCATATTTTTATAATAAATATATTTTGAAAATGATCTCTCGGCAAATGAATGAAGGTAGAAGTTACTGGGCGTAGGGCTTTTTAAAACACCTCCTTTCTGGGATAAGTAGTAGATACACTTAACTACTTATAGGTGTTAAACAAAAGTTGTATTTTATACATTTTTTATTATTATTATAAATATGTTTATTAGTTTTGTTAATTAACAATAATATTACAATGAATTTTTAGTAATCATGTGTATTGAATCCAGGATCCTGAGTAGAGTAAAAATATTATAGTTCCCCAGTTTTAATTCGATTTTATGATAGTAGGGGAAAGGTGCCTAGAATGATCCCCCTAAGGGAGAAATTCTTTAAAAAATACAAATTATTATTATTCATGTAAAACTGTAGCATTATTTGTAAGAACATTGATTTATCTAGGTAACAGTATAAGCCAATTGGTGATTCGATAATTATAAAAAAAGTTATTAACGTTTTTCCAGGACCTTACAGAAGGATCATTTTAGGCATCCCCATAGGTAAAATGATCCCTCGGCATGGGCATAATGATCCCTTTGAATTTTGACCATAAGGGGACAGCATCAATAAGAAAAATCAAATCATGACATAACTGATAAATATTTTATTTCAAAAATTAACAAAAAAGTAAATTCTTAAAAAAAATAAACAAAAAAAGTTTGAAAAGCACCGAAAATACGGGGTGTATAATTTCTGGAAGAGTTTGAGACAATACTTTAGTCATCAGTACGTGGTAAGATAAGACTAATTTTGCCAAATGGGATACCCTCCAAGAAAAGAGAGGGCGGGTGGGCGGGCCTACTACCTGCTAAGATAAAACTGAATTTGGCAAATGATATACCCTCTAAGAAAAGAGAGGGTGGGTGGGTGGGTGGGGCTAGTAACTGCTAGGATAAGACTGAATTTGGCAAATGATATACCCTCTAAGCAAAGAGAGGGTGGGTGGGTGGTACTAGTAACTGCTAAGATAAAACTGAATTTGGCAAATGACATACACTCTAAGAAAAAAGAGGGTGGGTGGGTGGGGTTAGTAAGTGCTAAGATAAGACTGAATTTGGCAAATGACATACACTCTAAGAAAAAAGAGGGTGGGTGGGTGGGGTTAGTAAGTGCTAAGATAAGACTGAATTTGGCAAATGACATAGCCTTTAAGAAAAGAGAGGGCGGGTGGGCGGGTCTACTAACTGCTAAGACAAAACTGAATTTGGCAAATGATATACCCTCTAAGAAAAGAGAGGGTGGGTGGGTGGGGCTAATACTTGCTAATATAAAACTGATTTTGGCAAATGAGATACCCTTTAAGAAAAGTGACGGCGGGTGACTGGGATTAGTATCTCTTAATACTGAGAATTTCCCAAAAATAGAACACGAAAATCCCTAAAATTCTTTTAAATTATTTAAATTTCCCCGTCTTAAGAGGTACTAGCTCCACCCACCCTCCCTCTCCTCTCTTAGAGGGTATTTCATTTGCGAAAATCAGTTTTATTTTAGCAGGTAATAGGTGGGTGGGGCTAGTAACTGCTAAGATAAAACTGGTATTGGCAAATGGTATTCCCTCGAAGAAACTAAAGGGTGTGTGGGCGGGGTTAGAGGATATGTCATCTGCAAAAATCAGTCTTATCTTAGCAGGTAGTAGCCCCGCCCACCCACCCTCTCTTTTCTTAGAGGATATGTCATTTGCGAAAATCAGTCTTATCTTATTAGGTGCTAGCCCTCTAACAAGATAAAGGGCGGATGGGTCGAGCTAGTGCTTGGCAAGATAAGGCTGATATTGGCAAATAACATACATTCTAAGAAAATAACGGACGGGTGGGTGGGGTTAGTACTGCTAAGATAAAACTGATATTGGCAAATGGTATTCCCTCAAAGAAAATAAAGAGTAGGTGGGCGGGGTTAGAGAATATGTTATCTGCAAAAATCAGTCTTATCTTAGCAGGTACTAGCCCCGCCCACTCACCCTCTCTTTTTTTAGAGGGTATATGATTTGCAAAAATCAGTCTTATCTTAGCAGGTACTAGCCCCGCCCAATGATCCGGGATCATTTTGCCTCAAGAAAAAGGGATCATTTCGCCTTAGGTAGCACATCCGCATTCAACAATTGTAAACTAACCTTCAATTTTTACATGCGGTAAAAAGATCATAACTAACGTACGACTGAAATGTATCTAATTCTGTCAAAACAACTACCACCGCTATAAGACCTTTCAAATGGAAGTAATGGACTTTTAAAATATATCTTACCTTAGATCAGAGGTGCTTATTTTACATATTTTGGCACACTGTGCAGAAGGTACTAATTACAGAGCGCTTAATCAAATGACAGTTATGTTTGGTAGATAGAGCCACAAATTTTCTTACAATTGATGGGGATCATTTGACCTGAGGGGATCATGTTAGGCACTTTTCCCCTACCTCATTGCGTAAAAGTTAACTTCCTTAATAATAGATTACTTAGATTAAAATCAAATTTTAATAAACACATTATTATTTAAACAAATTGTACCACTAACAAACATTTAACGACTCTGCGCCCTGTAAAAAGTGATGCTTCGTCCATGTGCAAATTTTCAAGCGATCCTATGATGGTTTATGGTTATGACTCAAAAAACTTGAAAAAACAACATACAATGGTGCTTTTTGTACGATATTTCTCAGTCATATTTTTTTAATTAATTGAACTGGTCTTTGCGGTCTAGAATATGAAAAAAGCTGCAGTTTGATGTATGATGCATCAATATTAATATCATTTTTTCATACAAAAAACCAAAAAAATGTTATACCTCGTCTAGCGAGTCCCCTTCTTTTTTGTGGCCATTTTGGGAAGCTATGTACCATCGGGGACACGGAAAACTGGGCAGAGATGTCACACAATTGTCAAAATTTCTAAACCAGGTTTTAGCTATTCATAACCACGCTTTTAATGTTTGGCGTATATCTCATTCTGACACTGACAAAGTCGAAGTTTTATTAAATTTGTTCCAATTATATTAACATGCAGCTATTGCTCGAGATTTGTTAAAAATTGATACAGCTGGCATGTCGAACCAACTGATATATTTCAAAGTTAATTTGACAGTTTTTTCGAAAATATCAATCATATTGACGCTAAAGGTGCATTTACATTGAGATTTTTTGAAATGACAAGAACAGACTGCGCAGAATTCCATGTCCCTCATAGTACAGGGATGACGCAACGTATTTGTTGGCGCGAATGATTTCGGCGCCGACAGTTGTCAAATATTTAACAATTTGTTCCTGGCCATATTGGTGTCCAACCCCTATTACTAGCGCAATTGATTTTGGTGTCGACTGTTGCTAACTATTCGACCACTTTTTTGTGGCCCCTCAGACGAAAGCTGCGTAAATTGGTGTCACACCCGCATTGTCAGCATGATTGATTTCGGCGCCGATTGTCACCAAATATTTGACAACATTTTCGTGACTATTTTGTGAAGCTAGATGAAGTGGTGTCATTTTCAGTGCGATTGATTTCAGCGTCAGTTGTCCTCAAATATTTGATAACTTTTTCGTGTCCATTTTATGAAGCTGTGTGACCACTTCCAACCACTATTATTGGCTCAATTGATTTCGGCGCCAGCTGTCGTCAAGTACTCTACAACTTTTTCGTGACCATTTTGTGAAGCTAGGTGAAGTGGTGTCCAACCCTTATTTTCAGTGCGATTGATTTCGGCGCCAGCTGTCGTCAAGTACTCTACAACATTTTCGTGGCCATTTTGTGAAGCTAGGTGAAGTGGTGTCCAACCCTTATTTTCAGTGCGATTGATTTCGGCGCCAGCTGTCGTCAAGTACTCTACAACATTTTCGTGGCCATTTTGTGAAGCTAGGTGAAGTGGTGTCCAACCCTTATTTTCAGTGCAATTGATTTCGGCGCCAGCTGTCGTCAAGTACTCGACAACATTTTCGTGGCCATTTTGTGATGCTATGTGGAGTGGTGTCCAACCGTCAATGTCAGTGCAACTGATTTCGGCGCCAGCTGTCGTCAAGTACTCTACAACATTTTCGTGGCCATTTTGTGAAGCTAGGTGAAGTGGTGTCCAACCCTTACTTTCAGTGCGATTGATTTCGGCGCCAGCTGTCGTCAAGTACTCTACAACTTTTTCGTGACCATTTTGTGAAGCTAGGTGAAGTGGTGTCCAACCCTTATTTTCAGTGCGATTGATTTCGGCGCCAGCTGTCGTCAAGTACTCTACAACTTTTTCGTGACCATTTTGTGAAGCTATGTGAAGTGGTGTCAAACCTCTATTATTAGCGCAATTGATTTCGGCGCCAGCTGTCGTCAAGTACTCTATAACATTTTCGTGGCCATTTTGTGAAGCTAGGTGAAGTGGTGTCCAACCCTTACTTTCAGTGCGATTGATTTCGGCGCCAGCTGTCGTCAAGTACTCTACAACTTTTTCGTGACCATTTTGTGAAGCTAGGTGAAGTGGTGTCCAACCCTTATTTTCAGTGCGATTGATTTCGGGGCCAGCTGTCGTCAAGTACTCTACAACATTTTCGTGGCCATTTTGTGAAGCTAGGTGAAGTGGTGTCCAACCCTTATTTTCAGTGCAATTGATTTCGGCGCCAGCTGTCGTCAAGTACTCTACAACATTTTCGTGGCCATTTTGTGATGCCATGTGGAGTGGTGTCCAACCGTCAATTTCAGTGTAATTGATTTCGGCGCCAGCTGTCGTCAAGTACTCTACAACATTTTCGTGGCCATTTTGTGATGCTATGTGAAGTGGTGTCCAACCGTTATTTTCAGTGCGATTGATTTCGGCGCCAGCTGTCGTCAAGTACTCTACAACATTTTCGTGGCCATTTTGTGAAGCTAGGTGAAGTGGTGTCCAACCCTTACTTTCAGTGCGATTGATTTCGGCGCCAGCTGTCGTCAAGTACTCTACAACTTTTTCGTGACCATTTTGTGAAGCTAGGTGAAGTGGTGTCCAACCCTTATTTTCAGTGCGATTGATTTCGGCGCCAGCTGTCGTCAAGTACTCTACAACTTTTTCGTGACCATTTTGTGAAGCTATGTGAAGTGGTGTCAAACCTCTATTATTAGCGCAATTGATTTCGGCGCCAGCTGTCGTCAAGTACTCTATAACATTTTCGTGGCCATTTTGTGAAGCTAGGTGAAGTGGTGTCCAACCCTTACTTTCAGTGCGATTGATTTCGGCGCCAGCTGTCGTCAAGTACTCTACAACATTTTCGTGGCCATTTTGTGAAGCTAGGTGAAGTGGTGTCCAACCCTTACTTTCAGTGCGATTGATTTCGGCGCCAGCTGTCGTCAAGTACTCTACAACTTTTTCGTGACCAATTTGTGATGCAATGTGAAGTGGTGTCCAACCGTTATTATTAGCGCAATTGATTTCGGCACCAGCTGTCCTCAAGTACTCTACAACTTTTTCGTGACCATTTTGTGAAGCTATGAAAAGTGGTGTCGCACCGGTTTTATCAGCGCGATTGATTTCGGTGCCTGCCTTCACCGAGCATTTGAGAAAACTGTCAACACTCCTGCGATTGGTTTCTGCGCCGGTTTTCAACAAATCTTCGAAAGCGTTTTTAAGGCTGTTTTCGGACGCCTCGTGAAGAAGTCTCTCAACAATCTCATTGGGGTGGTTGGTTTCCTCACTAAATTGTAATAAGTACTTGACGATTTTTAGATAACCACCTTTACATGCCAAGAAAAGAGGTGTTTCACCACGTTTCGCAGTAACAAATTTTCTTTCGTCCCAACGGTTTTTTCCCTTCTTCTCTTGGACTGTAAAAAGTTCACACACTTCGTCATAACCGAGTAAAGAAGAATAATATAAAATATTAATTACCACATCAAGAGTGAGAAATTGATGGTTCAAATCGCTTCGTTTGATTTGAAGAAATTTTATTTCCGCCCCTAAGCTCTCACTTTTTCTGGCATAAGCCACCGGCGTCATATCCAGCAAGATATCGTGTTCGTCAACAATCACTTTGTTTTGTAAAAACCTTACCGCTTCAAAATATGCTTCGGTTTCTGCTTTTTTATCAAAATTGTTATCTTCGTGGACAATACACTCCCCATTTAAAACCGTTATTTTTACTTGGGGATGTCTTTGTCCCCATGAAGAAATCACATGTAAAGCACTTCTACCACCCTTATCTTTGCGTGTTAATGTTTCGTCATCGAACGTTTTAAGTAATTCGTAATGTTTGTATAACACTGAAATGTGAGCTTCAGAGTTCTTGGCTAACAACATGTCGAAAAAGAACCGAACATTATTATACTTTGAATCAAATATTACATCCCCGAGTATGTCCCTAATTGCATTAAAATTTTTCGAAAAGTATGTAGCAACTAAGTATTCGGCAAAAGAACCATGAACAAAATGTGGCACATCATTTTCGAATTCACTCACAAGACCAATAGATACACAATCTTTTAAATTTTCGTCTTTCTGTTGTTCACAGGAGACATTTAATTGTTTTAGTATTTCTTTCGAAAATATTACTTTAAGTGCCACTCTCTCGTAATTATCTAAAATTCCCTGTTTTTCTTTGCGAATTCTACTAACCAAGTGAGGATTTTTTAAATTAAACCCCAATTTATCTTTGTAAAAATTATTAAACTTTTCTTCAATGAAGTATTCGTATAAATCAGTCAAAAGAAATATATTTTCCATCAGTTTCAAATATTTGTCTTTGTTTTGACGAAACAGTTCCGTAACCATAAAGATTTGGAGCGGAATTCCCAAAATGTTAACGTGTTCGATAATCGCGAACGATGATCTGATTTTTTCAATGGCCATCTCAATTTCATCTACAGAAATGAAAGAAGCTAAACGTTTTCTAATGTAATTTTGTTGTTCCTGTTCGTCAAACTGATTTATACTAAGAGCTAACAAACTGAATTTTTTTTCTAGAAATGGTTTTAGATGTCTCCTACTAGTAATCCACTGAAGGAAACCTTTCGTTGAGAAACCGAGGATTATTCTCGAAACGGATTCTAAATGCTCTTGTAGAATTTCATCCAGCGCGTCCCACACGTAAACAACATTGTTTTTCTGTACGCACATTTCGAAAAATCTTTGTTCGAGTTTTTTGAGTGACTGACATTTTTCATTTACGATAAATTTTTCAAATAAATCCGTATAGTTGGTGGTTTCAGGTAACTTAGAACTGTCAAAAAATGAGTGCACATCGTTAGGAGTAATCATAATTGTCCAATATTTCGGTGAACATTTATTTTTGAAGCTTTTCATTATCTCAGATTTACCTATTCCCGGATCACCAGATATTAGATTTATGTTATTATCTAACCGAGAACACCATAATTCATTTTCGTTCGTACAGTATTTGTCAGATAACTTATAAACCTCTAAATCACTAACATCACCTCTGCTTTTAATCCATTCTAAATTACAATCTTTGGAAAGTTTAAAATAGTGAATTTGTTTGGCTTCTCTATTTTCGATGTAAATTTGTTCTAGTTCTAAATCACTAAAATTGCTATTACCCACATAAACTGTATTGGTAAAATTTGACTTTCCCGAGTTAAAATTAACTTCGTGTTGGATTGTATTACATTTAGACACATGAAGTTTTTCATTTGTTTGATTTTCAAAATTCTGATTTTTTAACGGTAAGAAGTTATTGGTTTCAATGAATTTACAGTTGTTGAGTTTGTTTTTGACTTTATCAAAGTTATTCGCGCAATTCAAAACAACAATTGTGTTTTCCCAGGATTTTTCTAGGTATTTAATATCAATAACATTTAGGGAAAGATAGCGGTCAATGTAAGGTTCCGGAAGAATCTCTTTTTTTCCGCCTATATAACACGGACCGTTTAGCATTTCCACTAAGTCATCTGTTCTGATACTTTCTAAGAATTCGTCGCTATTTTCGTAAGTTGTTACAAGATTTAGTTCTCCCTTCCCTTGGACTGATACGGTAAAATTTTGCATGACCCTTTCGCGCAAGTCAGGGTTCCGATTCAAATTTGATACATTTTGGAACACGGAATAATTTTTCATCCACTCCTCAATCTTACCTTCACCAATTAGGATGAACTTTTTGTCGGGACAGAGCCCAATGGCTTTTTCGACGTTCTTATGTTGACGTATTATTAATGGACACTTGTCCGTTAACCAAAAGAGTTGAATAAATATTCTGGGATCTATTTTGTCGATATTTTTTTTATCAATATATCTGACGGTTGGGAAATACCTTTTTCTTAATTTGTTTAATTCTGTAAAGTCTAAGTTTTCTTCTTTTCGAATGTCATCCCACACTGGTACTAGCTTTTCGTACGATCCTGTTTCAAATAGCGTAATGTCGAAGAAAGAAACGGCTTCTCGAAATATTTTTATTTTATCGTTAACAGAGTTGACATTAACTGAGCCAGAACATACGAGTTCGAGGTGGGCAGATAGAAGCAGTAGAGCAATTACACGCTCCATCCACTTTTTGTTGAGCTTTTCTTTGTTCCCATCTTGGATATTCCACTCAGACAGTCTTTTGAGGAATTTTTCGAATATTTCCTCATCCGAACAATATGTTGCTTTGAATTTTTCAGCTACACTTTTTTTCAGGCTTTCAACTTTTTTTTGATCGGTGTACAGATAAAATTTACTAAAAAACCTTTCATATTCTCGAATTTTGAGACGCATTTCAACATTCCAATCTTCTTCTACTATCTTAAACTGATACGCACAATCTATCTCTGAAAGTTCTGAAGCAGATTTTACTTTAACAAGTTTAACATAAAATTCTTCTTCTTCCAGTTGAATTGTTGTATTGTCGTCACACTTGAAAGGTCTGTTAGTAAATAATATTAACTCGCTTGCGTCTTTCTTAATTTCTTGAAAGGCCTTGAAATATTTGCTAATGCTGAAGTATCCTGTTTTGGTTTCTAAATTTTTTGTGGACAATATTTTATTTTCGGAGTGTTTTAGCTGCACTACTTTTATTGTGTTTCCCGTATCCGACTCAGTCTTGATAACTATGTCATCAAAAGCTCCGAAACCTTCTTCATTTGACGAAATATGGAAGTTCTTTGTTGCGACGTCTTTTACTAGTTCTAGGATAACAAAAGCGAGAACCACATCCTCGTATTCTTTTCCTCTGTCAGTGGTTCCGCTTCGTTTTTTAAAACTCTGGAAAGGAATAAAGAATTGAAGCATGCAATGACAGACTGCCCAAACTATTATGTATATGTAAATGCGTACGTACAAACCGCACAAAAAATAAGTGATAACAGGTTTGGCTATAATGGAAACGAAGAACTTTGAAACAAAGATAGAAACCATAAAAACCGAAGTATTTAACTAAAAATGTGAAGAAAATACACTCCGCCACTTCCCGGGTGCCTGTTCTGATTGCTGAACCATCCGACGTTGTGCTTATTTTTCCTCATTTTCCGTCTTATGTTGTGAGACCATAAGATACATAACAAAGATGGAAAAGAGCGATGGAAACACATATTTAGATATCTACCAAAACCTAATACTTAATTGGAAAGAATGGAAATGTGATCACCAGAACAAGAGATTGGAAGAAGTGCGCAATGGAACCGGGAGGTTGATATCAAAAAATCAAATCAATATGAGACGACAAAATTGCGATGAGGGACAAGGGAGAAGTAACAACAGGAATAAAACAAACTAATGTGAAAACCAATGAAAATAACAAAGGAAACCTGGAAATGTCTTAAAGACAAAAATGAAGCTATATGGAATATAGACAGTATAAGAGGCAAAGGAGATGCCTTAGGGGAAGAATTCTCAGAAGAGGAGTTAAACGACCTGTTTTGCAAGATTTTAGGGATAGATAAGACATATAAGCAAAATTATGTGTTTTCGCGGAATATCAAAAAATATCAAACTTTTAAATTTTGTTTAACAATGTTGGCGCCACCGCCGACGAAATATGATACACCGTGATATGTATCGAGTTTAAATAACATTAACAAAGCATGAGATGCAATAGGCACGTTTAGGCAATTAAGCACGTACTATTTTCACACTCTTTTAATTAATGCTTAACAAAATATACAATCGGCCTAATCGAAAACTTATCTTTCTCTAAGAATCAGTGTTATGTCTCTGCTTAACCATTGAGGGTGTACGTAGATCGTGAGGTTTCCATTAAGTGACAATTTATAATCATCACTGTAAGGTAAATTACTTTTTTTTATCTGTAAAAATAGTATTTGCATTATGGCTTTTTCAAAACTAGTTTGTCGAAATGGACAAACCAAGCACAAGTAGGAAGGATGTTAAAAGAAAAGCGGTTAAAGGCGGTGCGGAAAAATTACGCGAAAAGAAAAAAAAAGCTTTGGAGGAACAAGTCAAATTTTACAAGCCCTTGTCTTCATTTATTAAATTTGCGTAAAGAAAATGTTGAAGGTGACAGTCAACCTGCACAATCTACAAGCACTACTCCTATTGAACCTGTTGAAGCGGTGGAACTTGGATTGAAGCAACCTACTACTTCAACGATTCTGGAAGATGTTTCTTCACAACAAAAAGTATCAGAACAAGAGTTTCTGCCAGCCGTCGAAAGCAATACATTTTTTTCTATACCAGCAATAAGTGACATTGATAGCTTTTTTAAATTTCATCCAATTCAACCATGTGATGTAAAAGACTTACCATTCAATCCGATTACACTGTTTCGCAGGAAAAGTGGGGTGCGGCGTACTTGGTTAACTTATAATGAACACTCAAAAACTTTATTTTGTACAGTTTGTATGGTTTACAGCAAAGAATCTAGTATATTTAAAAGTAGTGTAAAAAGTATTCATCCTAAACATATTTACAGTAGAGTGGATGAGCATGAAAAAAGTCAAAGTCACAAAAATTCTGCTGAAGCACATTTGATACAATTGAAAAAATTAAATATACTGTCTTACGTACCAAAACAAGAAAATATTCGTTTAAGTCAAGTTCAGAATAGAAGAGATATTTTACTGCGAATTATAGAAGTAATAAAAGTAATTGGTAAATGTGGTATTGCTTACAGAGGTCACAGAAATGAGGATATTCTTTCTTTGGCCAATTCAAAAATTAATCATGCTAACTTTTTGGAACTTATTTTAATGCTAAAAAAATTTGACCCCTTATTAAATTCACATATTAATCGTGTTATTTTAGAAAAGCAAAAGCGATATACACGTGGCAAGAAAGGTAGGGGTAATATTGTGTCTTTTTTGTCCAAAACAACTATAAATTCCATTGTAAATATTATCAAAAATTTAATAACGCGTAAGATTTCAGAAAAAATTACCAATATCGGAATGTATTCAATTCAAATTGATACAATACAAGACATTACAGTTACAGATTAAACTTCTATTATTATTAGATATGTAGATGATGAATCTGTGCATGAAACATTGCTTGGATTAAAAAGTACAAGTTCTACAAAAGGCCAAGCTCTTTATGAGTTAATGGCAAAAGTGTTGGCCGACAATAATATCAATTTAAAATATTGTGTAGGTAGTAGCACCGATGGTGCTGCAAATATGGAAGGGCAATATAATGGTTTTAGTTTTTGGATGGCTACTTCTAATCCTGAACACATACATCTCTGGTGCTATGCTCATATTTTAAACTTAGTAATAACAGATATTACACAAAAACCACATCAGTGTACATCTTTATTTGGTTTGTTAAATGGTATTGCTGTTTTCTTTAAAGAATGTCACACTAGAATGGACATTTGGAAAGACTCTTCTCGAAAAGTTTTAAGTACAATAGGAGAAATAAGATGGGATTCTAAATTTACTTAATGCAGTGTTAAAAATTTTTGAAAGTTATGGTGACACAAGTAATGCCCTTTTTGTTACAATTATAGAGGTTCTTGAAGGTATATCAAAATCAGAAATTTTAAATTCTGACACACGATATAAAGCAACTTCCTACTTAAATTCACTTTCAAAATATGAAACCATTTTAACCGCCAGTATGTATTTGAGAATTTTTCAGCATACTTCACCTCCATCAAAATATTTACAAACATCTAGACTAGATCTAATTACAGCGCAAACAATGATTACTGAAACAAAAAATTCTTTAACTGCAGTCTCCAGAAATTTTGATCATTTAAAGTTAACAACAGATAAATTTGTAGAATGGGCAAATAATGAATTGGGAAAAGAAAACGACGCGTCTACGGTAATAATCAATTCGCAATTAGATATTCTGCGAATTCGTAAAAAAAAAATGTTCTCGGGTGAAAAAACTTCAGACTATTGTATTGATAACTATGAAAAATATAAAATTGATGTATACAATGTAGTTATGGACGTTATTGTGCAAAGTTTTAGTACAAGATTTACCAAAAACGAAAAAATTTATACTATGCTTGCTGTATTTAATCCCCGACAATTGAACAATATAAGTTCGGAAACTCTAAATTCAGATTTATTTGTTCCACTATGCAATATTTTACTAAAATTTAATGCCGAAATTACACCGTCTCAAACACGAGAAGAGCTTTTAGATTTTGCTGCAAAATGGGATCAATTAAAACAAACAGTATCCGAAGAGTCAACTTTTACTGACGATTGTGGTAACCAAAAATCCTGCAAATCCTGCAAACAGTGTACTTTGTGTTGTTATACACTTTTAATTAAACACAATCTTTATTCAAGTGCTTATGAAAATCTGTTTCTTGTGTATAAATTTTTGTTAACTCTATCTATTTCGTTTGCTGGTTGTGAAAGGAGTTTTTCGAAGCTTAAAATTGTCAAAAACAGATTACGAAATAGTTTGACGGATGATCATTTGGAAGCATTTACAATGATGTTTGTTGAAAGTATCATGTTAGATGACATTGACTGTATATTGTTATAGATACACTGTCGGGTCAAAGTGCCGTTATGGCCAAATTATTAAAATAATCTGTATAATATAGGTATAATGCATATAAAAAATTAAATTGCTACAACTTTTTACTTCCTGAGCGTATTTCTAAATAAAATTAGTTATTTTAACCTTATTAATTAATAGATAAATGTAAAATTGTTGATTTTACAAAATATCACAGAAAAAAATTACTATAAGTAGTAAATGAGGGTCGCCTCCAGGGCCGGTTAAATCTTTTGCCCGGGCCACTTTTAAAGTGCCAGTCCGCCCCTGGTTGTAATGGAACTTAGTTTTGATTAAAAAAAGAAGCGTGGGCTGATTAGAGAAAAAGGTTGACAGATAGAAAATAGTATCTGAATGTTTAATTTTGTTGATGTTTTGTACATTTAAATAAATGAATCATATTATAAAGTATATATTATATAGACATAGGATATGTGCTTTGCACTTGTTACATTAGCGTCGCGGCATAAAAGAATTGTCATAACTAAAGCCGTTGAAAAAAGTATGAAAAATATATTAAATTAATCATAAAAATTAAGAAAGTGCGAAAAGCGTTATGAAAATCAAACGTTCAGTGAAACTGACAAGGTATATATTTTTTGTGTAAATCCGAGCTGTATTTCCCGTTTGGGCAAACTTATTTTATATTTATTTAAAAACTATGCAGTTATTATATCTATGTTTTTAAATTTCAAATTATAGTCCAGTCATTTTAGGATAAAAATGGGATCAATCTCGGAATGAGAGATAATAAGCTGAATTTTTGTATATACCTTAATTTTGACGTTTTAAAAGTTGTGTCAAAAGTCTCATAAAATCTCGTGTCTGCGTCGTAAGTTATTCAAGGTCAAAGATGAAGAAAAACAGTTTTTTGCGATTATCTCGGTTTCTATTGCTCCAGTGATGTTAACATCCAGTATCATAATTGTAGAGCACAAAATTTTGGACAAATTTTATTTGAAACATTTTTTCATGCGCTCAATCGTTTTTGAGATAGAGGGCAGTGAGCGCGCGGCGCTCATCCATACATACTGTAATGCAATCAACCGTGAATATCTATGAATACTACCTTGAATTTTGAAAAATTTGTATTATTTATCAATTAATACATTGTATTTAAACATTTTACATATTCTCAACATATTCATTGAATAATACTTACCTACTTTGTGTAATTAAAAACGCATTTAATGAAATATTTATTGTATATCTCAATTTATTTATATCTTTAAAATGTGTAAGGTTTTAAATATTTATTTTTCTATCATGATTATAACTGGAAGGTCTGGAAACAACGATTCAGGGCACCGAAGATGATGACGATGAAACAGAAATTCCCGAACGTCCGGAAGATGACGGTGAAGAAGAAGAAAATTAAGACTTTTGTTCTTTAAATTATTAAAGATTTCTAGATTTTCACTACAATTCAATTTCAATCGTAAGAAATGTACAGGTACTGAACAAAGATAAAATTAAAATACATTAACTCTTTTTACTTCCTTAAATTTTTACTTTAAAAAAATTAATATAACTTTTAGATATATAATAATATAACAAGTATAATATATTATCTAATATATAAAAACTTACACATTTGAAAGATAAAGTACTTAATTATTTTTCTACTTAAAATCTACGTTCAATAAATTAAGATACACATAGAATAAGTATTTCATTTAAAGAGTTTTTAATTCCACAAAGTAGGTAAGTATCATTATCATTAAATGAATGTTTTGAAAATATGTAAAATGTTATTAAATGCAATGTATTAACTGATAAATAATACAAATTATTCAAAATTAAAGGTAGTATTCACAGATATTCACGATTGATTGCATTACAGTACGTATGGATGAGCGCTGCGCGCTCACTGCCCTCTATCTCAAAAACGATTGAGCGCAGGAAAAAATGTTTCAAATTAAATTAGTCCCAAATTTTGTGCTCTACAATTACGATAATAGATGTTAACATCATTGGAGCAATAGAAACCGAGATAATCGCAAAAAACTGTTTTTCTTCACCTTTGACCTTGAATAAGTTACGACGCAGACACGAGATTTTATGAGACTTTTGAGACAACTTTTAGAACGCTAAAATGAAGGTATATACGAAAATTCAGCTTATTATCTCTCATTCCGAGGTTGATCGCTAATTTGACTGGACTATTAGTTGATTGTGTTTTTAGAAAACTTTTATTAATGACAAAAGTTCCTAAGACAAAATGTAGGTATAATTTAACCCACACCGTTGACTCACTTACGTCATCGAACAGGGGAAAAATTGTATGTCTATTTTGTGTATAACGATAGCGATAGCGATGATAGTTCGCTAATACTAGACCTTAGCCATAATTTAACACACATTTTTTTTTTATTTTCAATATCAAAATAATATGAAAATGAATAAACACTTACCTCGAATTCCTCCATTTCTGGATAGAACCGCAGATTTAAAGTTGATGTTTACAACAAAGCTCTTTTAGTAGACTGAAGTCAACAATTATCTGACTTGAACTAAATTATGCACCGGCATCGTCGATCTCATTTAACATGCGCACGCGCTGATTAATTAAAGTCGTTATCAAAAATGACCTCACTGAGCCGTATTGCAGCCTGGTACTCGTATCATAAATAATTCAAATAAAAAACCAGGGCAACTAAAAAAATCGTTATTATCTTCATTAAGTAAATAATAAAAATTTAAAACACAACATAACTTTTCTAAAAAAAAAATAAAACAGAAAAGATCAAAATCATGAAATAAATTGCAGTCCAATATAGTAATAGCGGTTTTCTTCTTTCGCAGAACTATATTTTTTGAGAAGTGTATAAATGTCCAAATTCATTTTTGTTATTAATACACAGTTTAAAGTATGAACTTGTGTTTTCTCAATGTATTGCGCTTTTGACACCTTTCGAAGCAGGGGCGGACTGGCACTTTAAAAGTGGCCCGGGCAAAAGATTTAACCGGCCCTGGAGGCGACCCTCATTTACTACTTATAGTAATTTTTTTCTGTGATATTTTGTAAAATCAACAATTTTACATTTATCTATTAATTAATAAGGTTAAAATAACTAATTGTATTTAGAAATACGCTCAGGAAGTAAAAAGTTGTAGCAAGTTTATTTTTTATATGCATTATACCTATATTATACAGATTATTTTAATAATTTGGCCATAACGGCACTTTGACCCGACAGTGTATCTATAACAATATTACAGTCAAGTCATCTAACATGATACTTTCAACAAACATCACTGTAAATGCTTCCAAATGATCATCCGTCAAACTATTTCGTAATCTGTTTTTGACAATTTTAAGCTTCGAAAAACTCCTTTCACAACCAGCAGACGAAATAGATAGAGTTAACAAAAATGTATACACAAGAAACAGATTTTCATAAGCACTTGAATAAAAATTGTGTTTAATTAAAAATGTATAACAACACAAAGCACACTGTTTGCAGGATTTGCAGAATTTTTGGTTACCACAATCGTCAGTAAAAGTTGACTCTTCGGATACTGTTTGTTTTAATTGATCCCATTTTGCAGCAAAATCTAAAAGTTCTTCTCGTATTTGAGACGGTGTAATTTCGGCATTAAATTTTATTAAAATATTGCATAGTGGAACAAATAAATCTGAATTTAGAGTTTCCGAACTTATATTGTTGAATTGTCGGGGATTAAATACAGCAAGCATAGTATAAATTTTTTCGTTTTTGGTAAATCTTGTACTAAAACTTTGCACAATAACGTCCATAACTACATTGTATACATCAATTTTATATTTTTCATAGGGGTTATCAATACAATAGTCTGAAGTTTTTTCACCCAACATTTTTTTTTACGAATTCGCAGAATATCTAATTGCGAATTCATTATTACCGTAGACGCGTCGTTTTTTTTTTTTTGTTTCAGTAATCATTGTTTGCGCTGTAATTAGGTCTAGTCCAGATGTTTGTAGATATTTTGATGTAGGTGAAGTATGCTGAAAAATTCTCAAATACATATTGGCGGTTAAAATGGTTTCATATTTTGAAAGTGAATTTAAGTAGGAAGTTACTTTATATCGTGTGTCAGAATTTAAAATTTCTGATTTTGATATACCTCAAGAACCTCTATAATTGTAACAAAAAGGGCATTACTTGTGTCACCATAACTTCCAAAAATTTTTAACACTGCATTAAATTTAGAATCCCATCTTGTTTCTCCCATTGTACTTAAAACTTTTCGAGAAGACTCTTTCCAAATGTCCATTCTAGTGTGAGATTTTTTAAGAAAACAGCAATACCATTTAACAAACCAAATAAAGATGTACACTGATGTGGTTTTTGTGTAATATCTGTTATTACTAAGTTTAAAATATGAGCATAGCACCAGAGATGTATGTGTTCAAGATTAGAAGTAGCCATCCAAGAACTAAAAGCATTATATTGCCCTTGCATATTTGCAGCACCATCGGTGCTACTACCTACACAATATTTTAAATTGATATTATTGTCGGCCAACACTTTTGCTATTAACTCATAAAGAGCTTGGCCTTTTGTAGAACTTGTACTTTTTAATGCAAGCAATGTTTCATGCACAGATTCATCATCTACATATCTAATAATAATAGAAGTTCGATCTGTAACTGTAATGTCTTGTGTTGTATCAATTTGAATTGAATACATTCCGATATTGGTAATTTTTTCTGAAATTTTACGCGTTATTAAATTTTTGATAATATTTACAATGGAATTTATAGTTGTTTTGGACAAAAAAGACACAATATTACCCCTACCTTTCTTGCCACGTGTATATCGCTTTTGCTTTTCTAAAATAACACGATTAATATGTGAATTTAATAAGGGGTCAAATTTTTTTAGCAGTAAAATAAGTTCCAAAAAGTTACCATGATGATAATTTTTGAATTGGTCAAAGAAAGAATATCCTCATTTCTGTGACCTCTGTAGGCAATACCACATTTACCAATTACTTTTGCTACTTCTATAATTCGCAGTAAAATATCTCTTGTATTCTGAACTTGACTTAAACGAATATTTTCTTGTTTTGGTACGTAAGGCAGTAGGTATATTTAATTTTTTCAATTGCATCAAATGTGCTTCAGCAGAATTTTTGTGACTTTGACTTTTTTCATGCTCATCCACTCTACTGTAAATATGTTTTTCTTCAAACGTCAAAAAAACATGACTTTATGTACCTCAACAAATGAACTTAAAGTATGACATTTCAGCCGCTCCTCACCACCGACAGATAAAAATTTTTGCTGCCGCTACAGGCGGCAGCAAAAGTAAAACCATAGCAACAGCATACAAATCATTCCAAAGCACACTGAAAAACCATAGTAACAGTTAACTTAATTCATTCGTTTTAAAGAATTGATATGTAATTCCTTTTTTTTAAATTACTTCTCTAATTGAATTGCAGACGTTTGAAGAAAAAATAGCATGTTTTATTCGGAGAAAAATGACTTTTCGTGGCTCATCTGTAATTGCCGGCCTCGCGCGCTCGGCCGTCAAACCTACAGATTCGCCACGAAAAGTCTCATTTTAGCTCCTAATAAAACAATATACTATTAGGATGAATACTTTTTACACCACTTTTAAATATACTAGATTCTTTGCTGTAAACCATACAAACTGTACAAAATAAAGTTTTTGAGTGTTCATTATAAGTTAACCAAGTACGCCGCACCCCACTTTTCCTGCGAAACAGTGTAATCGGATTGAATGGTAAGTCTTTTACATCACATGGTTGAATTGGATGAAATTTAAAAAAGTTATCAACGTCACTTGTTGCTGGTATAGAAAAAAATTTATTGCTTTCAACGGGTGGCAGAAACTCTTGTTCTGATACTTTTTGTTGTGAAGAAACATCTTCCAGAATCGTTGCTTCAATCCAAGTTCCACCGCTTCAACAGGTTCAATAGGAGTAGTGCTTGTAGATTGTGCAGGTTGACTGTCACCTTCAACATTTTCTTTACGCAATTTAATAAATGAAGACAAGGGCTTGTAAAATTTGGCTTGTTCCTCCAAAGCTTTTTTTTTCTTTTCGCGTAATTTTTCCGCACCGCCTTTAACCGCTTTTCTTTTAACACCCTTCCCACTTGTGCTTGGTTTGTCTGTTTCGACAAACTAGTTTTGAAAAAGCCATAATGCAAATACTATTTTTGCAGATAAAAAAAAGTAATTTACCTTACAGTGATGATTATAAATTGTCACGTAATGGAAACCTCACGATCTACGTACACCTTCAATGGTTAAGCAGAGACATAAGACTGATTTTTAGAGAAAGGTAAGTTTTCGATTAGGCCGATTGTATATTTTGTTAAGCATTAATTAAAAGAGTGTGAAAATAGTACGTGCTTAATTGCCTAAACGTGCCTATTGCATTTCATGCTTTGTTAATGTTATTTAAACTCGATACATATCACGGTGTATCATATTTCGTCGGCGGTGGCGCCAACATTGTTAAACAAAATTTAAAAGTTTGCCTTTGAGAAATTATTGATATTGTCTATTCAGCGTAACCGGCCTACCGGCCTATCAGTTCGACGGCCCAATGGGCGAATGCCCGGTAGCCCGCCTGGCCAGTCCGCCCCTGTTTCGAAGTATCAAGTTGCACTAATATATCGGCTTTCTGATATACAAAACTCTGTAGAAAGTCTTTGGTACAAGATAAGAATTAATAAAAAGTCTATTAACACTTGGACTAGGAATATTATATAAACCCCGACTATATTCTTTATTAAAGAGCGGATTTTAGAGTAAGAAATGCCAAAATAGAATGAAATGTTAAATTACAAGTATAGACTGATCATATTTTGCATATTTTGGCCAGAATTTATACGGCAAAATTTTGAGATGACGTTATCAATTTTTTGGGATTGATAAGCACATACATTTTGATTAAAAAGTTACCATGCTTACAATAAATTTAAAACGTCTGCAAGATTTCAAAGAATTCAGTTTTGCAGTTTTTGAATTAATCAATAAAATGCACTGATAAATCACAAGTGTAAATTCGTCATATTTTGCACATTTAATAATTATAGTCCGTTACCATGGACGAATGAATATTCTTTCCCCTATGTTCGTTACACTCGTGGGGATTTTTTTTTGCAATACTGGTAGCACTGTTCAATTTGATGGTTTGTTATGCTGTCAGAGTGTCAGATGTCATCAAGAATGTTAGTTACTTGTTTATCATCGCCTTGTGTGCGTCGTTGTTTTCCAGCGTAACTGAAATTAAATTTTTGAATAAATATCTCTCGAACAACTTTGTTAGGATTAGATAAAATTAAATTTTGTGGTAGAAATGGTAAAACGATAACAGAGCAAAGGAAAAAGAAATCTAATCTTTTTTGGTAGGTATTTTTATATTTATCTTTACGAAATTCATCCACATCCTCTTCCTCGAAATTACGTGATACATTACTTTCCGATTTGATAACTATGAAACTGGAAATGACATTTTTAATATTTCCCGGTGGATAGTCGAT